GTTTTTAAATGTATTTCGAGGAAGGGGAATGGACTTGCGCAATTAGCGTTCATTGCATGGTCCGCCCATAATAAATGTTGAGTACATTGTGGGCATCGCATTGTCCATTATATTATTTTGAAAAGATAAATTCAAGGTAGAAATGTTAATTATGGATTAATGTGGTTATAAAATTGAATTGAATGTTTATTAAAGCTTTATATACCAATTATATACATAGGCTCAATCAAAGTACTTTTAATACTTGAAAAAAGAGTATCTTTTAGTACTTTCAAACGCAACTAAAAATGTTCGAAATCTATTTAAGAAACTAAGGTATCAAAGTAACGCAGGGGGCGTCAGAATCTCTAGAGTTTTTCAATTAATAGCTGATGTAAAAGCTTAATCGATTTATTTACCGAGTCGAACTTTTAGAGTTAAACGCACGTCTACGGATAAAGATGTGAAAAGCAAATGACTCAAAAGATAAGATGAAATTAGATGCTTGAATTGATTTATCAAAGAAAGTTATCTGAATGAAAGAAAAACTTGAAAAGGTGTTACCTTTGAGTACTTTGACCATTTTTACGTAAATCATTCATTAAATAAATTTAAAAGGAGAATCAACGCACATATGTTCAACTACGTCTTCAGACCAATATTCTCGTGGAAAACTCGTAGGGATCCAAATTAAAGTTCCGCAGACCAATATTCTCGTGGAAAACTCGTAGGGATCCAAATTAAAGTTCCGCAATATGTGACCAATTCTCCGCCGACGCATAGACATGAGAATAATGATATCTGATAAATATCTACATATATATTTAGTACACGTACGCATACTTATCTCAGTTTTAAAACAGTTCTGATATCATACCCATAAGGAAATCATGAACTTATTTTCAGTTTTAGACTTTTGGCTAGGGGTGGGCGCGGGTCGATTCGGTTCGATTTTTTTCGGTTCCAGAAATTTTCGGATATTTAGTAAATGGAATCGTCGGTTCCAAATACAATTTCGGAACCGTTCGGGTTCGGTTCGGTTCAGTTCGGCTCGGTTCCGTTCCGTACTATAATTA